GTAAAATTTTTGGCGATTTTTCTGCCTTTTTCAGATCAATGAAAAGGCCGTAACTTTGTGAATATTTGACCAAATTTAAATTTTTATTATTATGAAAGCTAGTTAAGGCAAAACAATGTCTAATCGAAAGCGATCACAATTAATTCTCTTAGCAAACTGCAAAATATGCATGATACCCTAATATGATATTGAATAAATTTATTTACGAGTAACATTTAAATAAGATGAAAATTTTGTCGAATAACAATTCTTTAATAATGAAACAAATAATAATCCTGAGAAAAGGTAAAACATGTTTATATTAGTTATTATTAATAACTTATTAATATTTGGACCGCTTCCAAAAACACTTTTCATACCCGAATACACACTTGTACACAAATACGAACAAAATCACAATATCAGATAGAATAAAATAGAGAATAAAATCAACGCAAGATTAGCAAAAAGTGAATGAGATGCACCATTCAGAGCAACAGTTGATTCACTGTAAGTCGGCTTATTATCCGATGAAATTTCCAGGTTATATTTAGCATCGCGTGTATCCAATGATCCACTCGACTCTGCGAGAACCACGGGTTGAGACCAAAAACAACGGAAATCAGGAAAAGGTGCGTCTCTCTTAACAATCTCATAATAACGGAGGTCTCTTATAGGTTCCCATTGCGAGTCAACCTTAACCGAAGCATTAAATGTATTGGACGAATTACAAGTGACACTGAATTCGCCTCCATTCGGATTAGTAAGAGTAACTGTCATCGATTTTGGAACAGGAGGAAAAGCTTGAAGATAGAAATTGGTATTTTGAGATGTTTGGTTGGATAAAAACAGATAATCTGAGCCACCATGAGGTTTGTAGCAACAACGGAGGAAATTCATTCGATAGATGGGTAGTTTGGACAGATCCCAGGCCACAGTTTTGGTAACATCATCCGATACGAGTGAAATCTGGTAATCAAGGTTATTCAACAGATTGATCTTCGAATAATTGGCGTGTGTTGGCCATATGTAGTCATCTTTACCAAAAGTCCAATGGCAAACCAAAGCATTGCTTATGTTTTGTGCATTACCTTCTAGGAAGGTGGAGTTGGATCCTTGGACAACTTTGGCTTGAGGCTTTCCATTTCTGGGCGATTGGCACCAATACTCGATTCGCTCATTTGAATTGTGAAGAGCAAATGCTACTGAACGATCAGTATCGGTATTTATTCCATAGGCAATCACTGTTAGATTAATAGCTTCATCGAAAGCACCACGTTGAATGACACGAAATGTTGCCTTGACCAAACAGTCAGCCCTTGAAGTACATTCACTTTTGGCTGCATTATTTGATAAACTGTAGACAGAGGCAAAACAATTGGGCGAACATGATTTACTTGATGTACAAACATCCAAATTAACAATTAAAAGAAGTATCACTGAAATAAAATACAAAATCATGGTTAATTTACAAAGAAACAACAATAAACTAAAACAACGCAGTAAAAACCAGACAGAAAAATGGCAACAAGAAAAGTTGAACTATGTTGTCACAATGTAAGCTTTTGTTCCACTTGAACTGTGAATGTGTAATAATGAAAACTGAGAACAGTTCTGAGTTTGCAAAACCAATGATCAAAATTTTCTTTGTTAGTTGCAAGTAAATGATTTGACTAGTTTCATGTAAATGCTCAATAAAAGTAAAAATTATCCCCTTCAAGTAAAACCAAATATCGGATTGCCAAAGGTTTAACATTTGGTGTTACAAGCATACATGATGGTGTTGATTTAGTGAATAACTTTGACGTTTAAAATCCTTGAAGTAACTGAATCAATAAGTAACTCATAATATAATAGATGTTTTCACTGTATAATAAGGTAAATCAAAATAATATCGAGTAATTTTTAAACTATAAAATTCAGCCAACTCTATTGATGAAATATTGAAGCATTTCGAACACTAATTGACAAGTAAATCATATTTTAAAACTGTAAAGCCAATTATAATTATATTAACTGATATAGCGATCGGAAATATGGTAATTTTGATTCAAAGATTGTGCTTTTATGTAAAATTGATGCATTTAAAAAGGAACATGTAAATTATATTTGATCATCAACTGGTTACCATCTTTTTAGCATCTGACAATCAGTTATTTCATAGTCTCAATCGATGATGAATCAAGGAAACATTAAACTGATCAAATAGCCTCAGTTGGACAAAAAATTAACCAACTGGGTTAAGAGCTGATTCTGGAGGTTTCAATGGCAATATTTCGTGATACAAAAAGCTATCAAGTAGACAACTTTGCGAAATCAAAAGTAATCATGACTTGTCAACATTTGATTTATGCAATTATTCTAATTATTGAGTTCAATTAAATACAATTCATACATTTATGCAGTTCATAATATAACTTCAGATTAGTTGTTTGCTAGTTTCTTAGTAAAGTCAAACTTATCAAATGGTTTGAACGTTTTCTTTCAATCACTATCTGCGAAAAAAGAGTCAAAGCACGAATTGTTTAATAGTATGATTGTGATCTTGTAGTTTATGCCAAAAGCAACTTAATACACTGCAACTAAAACCTGGTTGTTGCTTAAAAGACTTATTTTAACACAATTGTTTCATTTAAGCACAAATTGAAACAAAGTTGACAAAAATGGACTAAAACGAGCGAGAATTGTTTGCATTCACATTTAGACGATGTAAGTATGTTTGCACATAAAAACTGAATCAATTAATGCAATTTAAAAGTTTCTCGGATCGATAGTTATCACAAGAATCGAGTCCAAAGTTGAAACTTCGATCGCTTGTTGTACGTTTATGGTAGCAGAGTTTTTCGTGAAACTCATTTTACTAAAGTAACTTTTGATGCTGAACCAGAAAATGGACTTATTTTGAGAAAAAGAATTTTCTTTTTTTCGTAAAACAACTAAGTTCGATTTTCATTTAAATCGACTTTTCTGGAGAACCAAATCAGTTAGAAAGCTGAAACTTCGTATTCGTCGATAAAAATGATTTGTTCATATCATACTTTGAATAATTTTTTCCCTTCATCAATAGTTCGCTTAATTTTGGTCATTGACCTAAAAACTTTGAAACTCAATAGTTCGAGAATGGTAGAACTTGAAACTATCATTATTTGACCAAACAACAGATTTCATTATGGTCTATAATATATTCAAATTTTAAATCATTGAAGAAACTATAAAAAAAGTTATAACATTGCATTATTTATGCTACCAGATTTTACCAGATTTATAAAGTTGAATGTTTACTCAAACTTAAATCATTGATAAATGAATTAGCTGGAATTTCCTCCGGTATTCAGTTATATAATGTTATAGTCCATGATAAAATCTATGGTTGCGCTTAAGAATGATAATTCCAGGTGATGTCATTCTCGGACTATTGAGGTTCAAAGTTTTCAGGTCAATGACCAAAATTAAGCGAACTATTGATGAAGGGAAAAAATTATTCAAAGTATGATATGAACAAATCATTTTTATCGACGAATACGAAGTTTCAGCTTTCTAACTGATTTGGTTCTCCAGAAAAGTCGATTTAAATGAAAATCGAACTTAGTTGTTTTACGAAAAAAAGAAAATTCTTTTTCTCAAAATAAGTCCATTTTCTGGTTCAGCATCAAAAGTTACTTTAGTAAAATGAGTTTCACGAAAAACTCTGCTACCATAAACGTACAACAAGCGATCGAAGTTTCAACTTTGGACTCGATTCTTGTGATAACTATCGATCCGAGAAACTTTTAAATTGCATTAATTGATTCAGTTTTTATGTGCAAACATACTTACATCGTCTAAATACGAAAGAAATTCATTTTTACCAACTTAAGCTCATTTCTGTCAACTTGTGAATGAATGTGTTAATTGTTTCTTTTCAGCAACAACCTAAAACCCAAAGTGTAGATTCACAAGAGCTTGAGATTGAAAAGAGTTGATTTAGTAAGCAAATTTTGTGCAAATCGAAGCAAACTGTTTGATTTTTGACGCTAATGTCAACATTCTCGAGTAAATTCAATCACTTTTCTAGACTTAAGCATATGTGTTCGCGTGTTGAATCATTCATTTGAATTTAGCTATAGCTCTTTTGGGTCTTAACCAACGTTTTAAATTAAACTCACCAGAAAAGGTCGACAACCAAGTGCAAAGAAAATAAATGCTAGCCAAATGAATTGGAATATTAGATTCTTGATTTCTGCTCTTCTAATTGACGCAACAATTTCACCAAAAGCACCTTTCCATGCATACAGTTTTAAAACTTTCATACCATTCAAATTTGGCTAATCATTTTACATCGAACGTTCTTTTCCTTCATAATGATATTAACAAATCATTTTTATCGACGAATTAAGTTTCAATTCTCTAACGCACACGGTTATCAAAAAGAGTCGATTTAAATGAAAATCGAACTTAGTTGTTTTACGAAAAAAAGAAGATTCTATTTCTCAAAATAAGTCCATTTTCTGGTTCAGCATCAAAAGTTACTTTAGTAAAATGAGTTTGCACGAAAAACTCTGCTACCATAAACGTACAACAAGCGATCGAAGTTTCAACTTTGGACTCGATTCTTGTGATAACTATCGATCCGAGAAACTTTTAAATCATACAAATGGATGCAATTTATAGTAAAATTTATGCTTATTATGCATCAAAATATCAAGAAGATAGCAATAAAGTATAAAATATTTATTATTAATGAAAATGAAGGCGTCAAGTGAAATTGTAATAGAAAGGTGATTGATCGGTTCAACGGTTGTTCTGATTCACAATAGAATGATATTTCATCTAAAGATGTTAGTCATTCGTCAACAACAATGTTTTGATCCAGCTGCAATTTAGGATCATTTATTAATTGAGTCCAATTAAATTTTAATTGTAAACTCCAGATTGTAAAGTACAAATTTTAGGCTGATTAAAATAGCCAATGATAACTTTTACTTTCACCCGTGAATATGCTATTGACAGGCTAATCAAGATGATTTAAATCGACATTTTGGTTCGTAATTTAACTCAACTCATTTATATTTATTCAAACATGTATTTACTATCACTTCCATGAAAGCGTGAAAATAGAGACGAGATACAATTAAAGATACAAAAATTACAAAAATGGGAAATCCAGGTTCAAGCTTCATGAAATAGTTTAATATTTTTTGGTTTACCCTGGTCATTTTATTATACAAATTTTACAAAAGGACGTAAAACTTAAATTATATGCAATATATGTCCATCATTATTGCAGCATTTATAAAATTCTGATTTTTCTCAGAAATATGAACTAATTGGTTCTCCGAAAATTTTCTCAATATCACTGAACACAGTGAGTAATAATTTTTGTATAATCTCAGAATCGTCTTCATGGAGTTCAGCCAAGAAAGGAATAGCTTCTGGAATATATGGTGTGTACTCTTCGGTCATTGACAATATGAGTTGATGGAGCACATGTAGAGATTGATAACGAACCTAGAAGAAGATGATAAAAAAATTAATTAGAAAAATATAAGCTTGAAGGATTGATATCGAAATATTTCAAATAAAAAAACTAACCTTGACTGAGTTTTCTCTAGTCTTTAATAATATTTGATAGTTAACATCTTTGACGATATTGTGATCATTAACAGCCCTAACCAGATGTTGAACACACGGAATTAAACCATTGTCAATTCGTTCGATAAATTTATCTTCTGGTCCGAAATCATTTGTTATCTGTGAAACATAAAAAAGAGGATAGATCAGTAACTTTGCTTGAAATAGTGAGTAAGATTTTGTTGTAATGAAGCAATCAGTTAATGAAGTCCACATGATAAATATTTTCAGGTGACGAAAAATAAGTCTACATCATTTTAAATTGAAAAATTACAAAAAAAATAAAGTAACTTACTTGATCCAATATTAAAGGATACAATTTTTTAGTTCTATCGGTGGTGGCAAACGTAGAGTTATTATCATGTTGAAAGCTTTTAGATAATGTAGTCAAAATATTGATGATAATAAGATGTCCAATTTCTTCCAAAAATGCTTTTTGATTTTTGGAATTCTTGGATTTAAAAACACTATCTTCAGAATCGATATGGAATGCTTTCAGTTGCTTAACACAATCGATAACAATGTAAGGGGCTGCAAATGCACTGAATAACTCTTTCAATTTATCTGATAACTTGTTAGTCAACCGATAGAAAGTGATTACTCGATTGAAATCTTCCCTGGTAACTTTGAGCCAATCGTAAACCTGATTGCAAGAAAAAGAAATAAATTATAAATAAATATTAGCGAAAATAATGAGAAGAATATAAAGATTGGAAAAAATTTATTTACCTTATAGAAAAATGCACGGAAACTAGCCTCTGAGAGTTTAAGAACAAAAGTCGAAATAGCTGCGATACTTGTATCCTCGATTTTGACTATAGCTTCAGCTTCCAATTTGCCATCATGAATTGAGCGATGATCTAATAATTTCAGAGCAAACTTTTGAATGTTTGGCAAGTTTAGCTCAACTTCAGTTTTATCACAATTCACTAATCCACCTTTCAAGATGGCTAAACACACATAAAGAGGCTCCTGTAATAAAAGAATTTGTAATTGAAATTAATTGTCGTATTACCAAACAAAATTCAAATAAAGGTAACAAATTCATACCGATTCTTCAAGTTGATCGTATACTTGTTCCAAGCTTTCCATGAGAATTCTGAATGGAACCAAAGTAGCCAAACTTGTCACAACCTTATCGAATTTTTGTGCCATACCAGTAATATGCTTTGATTTGAGGGAACAAATCTGAAAAATAGATTGTAAATTAATTTAGTAAACTGTTTTTGTAATGCAACGTTTAAACTTACCGTTAACAATAGCTCGACAAGATTTGAACTTAAAAATTTACCAAAACATTTAATAATTTTATTGAGACCAGTTAGAGAGCTGAGTAGTAAAGTGTGTTGTGTATCATCCGATCTGAAAGGAAAAAGAGAGTTTAGTTAGAAAATAGTTGAACGTTAACAAACACACAGAATTATGATTAATGAGGATGACACCATTGATCAGTTGAATTAATTCCACATATATAATGTTTCAGGTGACGAAAAATATTCATCGGTCATCATTTCAATGGTATGAAATGTTTTCAAGAGGCATAATTAATTAGCAAACACGAACAGAGAAGATGTAAAATAATAGAGAGGAAACAAATTCACTAATGAATTGAGTATAACTTACTTTTCTTTTAAAGCTGCCAAAGTGATTGACATAACAGATGGGAACAAAGGCAAACAATTATCTTGTAAACAGGTAACTAACTGAGAAATGCAGAGAATAATTGATGCCAGTAAATTAGGTTTCTCAATATCTGAAATTTCTTCAGAAACTGAAAGTATTGATTTTAAAGCTGCATTAAGCAATTGGGTGCTATCCTGATCACCGTCCAATAATTTAGAAATGAGGATTATGCTCTCTAAACCAGTTTGTGATGTGACAATTTGATAATCGGTTTTATTTTCCTTGATATCAGCTATGATATTCACAATAGGCTGAATAAAGTCACGAAGCATTGAAATCTGTAAAGGAAAATTGAAAAGAAAATACATGAAATTAAGAAATTGAAAAAAGACAGTTAACATCACGAAAAAATAGCAAAACAAAACTCACCTCTGATTTTTTAAGATTGTTTGTCATCAATCGAGCATTGAGCAGGCTAAGTGCTTTTCGTCTGACAGTTAGAGTAGATGAATCGAGTAGACGATGCATAACAGAAATAAATTCTGGCCCAGGCAACAAAGAGTTGATCTAATTCAATAATAATTAAAAATAAAATTAGTAAAGAATAAAAGCAATAATAAACAAATTTTACCTTTTCCAAGACTCTTAGAAGCTGTTTAGTAAGTCGATTGCTATAACGGCCAGGTTTGCTAATAGTCTTGTTACTTTGATCGATCAATAATAAATTAGTTTCAAATAGTTCATTAAACAGGTGAACAACATCAGACCATTTGGATTTGGCAATGGCTGAAACATAATTGTCCGAGGAAACCACTAGATAAATGGTTTCGATTACTTCACGAACAAACTCGCTTTTGCTGATGTCATTTAGTCGGAAATTTTCCCATAGTGCTGGAATGAACTTGGAAGTCAGGATTTTTAAGCTGATTTCCATAAGTTGCTTAATCGTATTCATTTGAATAGATGCATCAAAGCTACAAACAAGAGCAGAAGCAAACTCTTGTATTTCCTTCTTTGTATCTTCAATATCTTGAGACCGGCGAACTAATTTAGCAACAATAATCCAGAGATAGTTTTCCTCTCCTAAAAGGTTAGCGAGTTTCTGGAATAGATATAGTCTACGATGAACAGGTATACCATCGAATGCGTCGATAAATGTCTCAATAATTTTTTTAGGAGACTCGTTATTGCAATGAGCCAAACTTGGAATTAATGTTTCCATTGTATCATCTAGAATTTTGAGAGTGTATTGATCATCATACTTGATCAAGTCATCACCCATGAAGCCGAAAATTCCAAAGATATCTTCCAAAATACCGTCTTTTCTTTGACTTGAGATTCGATTGATGATGGATAGAGCTTGCATTCGAGTTTCTCTAAGCCTTGCAAGTCGTAAGCTTTCAACAATATGACTTAAATTACAACTACTCATGTCGATGTCATTTTGGTCAAGACAACTCGAAAGAATGACTAAGAGAAGAGATCGGAAATATTCTGACTGAGAAGATTGTTCGTCTGGTATTAGATTATCTTTAAGAAGCTTGAAGACTATTTCTATCAACTTATCAGCTCCATCAAATTTCTCCTTAGAAGCGAATATTTCAAGTAAAATAACGATTTTCTTCCATTCGTTTGTTCCAGGTTCAACAATTTTCTTGTCTTTCTTTGATGCTTGCTCAGCAGAGGCTTTGTCAACTTTCCTTTTTTTGGTTTGTACCGAAGTATCTGGATCTTCTTTATCAGAATCAAGAATTTCTTCAATAATTTTAGCAACCAATTCACCATCAGTTAAAAACTTTTTCAATTTTCTTCTGGTAGCGCTTTCATTTTTAAAATCGATCAAATTCAGTAAAGATTTGATGACAAAAATTTTAGCACCTTCCGATAATTCTCGAACATAAGTTTTGTCGAATAATTCTAGAAGTAGAAGGCGATAATCATCATGGGTCAGGATTTTTTTGAATAGATCGAACATCTTTCGTTGAGTAGATTCCGCCATTTCTTCCAGATCTGGTAGTTTTTCAATTATTTTGCGACCACCAAAGAAACACATTTGCTTTTCGATTAAACTTGGACTAGATGTGCAAAGAGATGTATTGCAAAGCTCCAAGAATAACTCAACACATTCATTTGTCTGATAGTCTCTCAACATGCTTGAAATTTCTACTCGAATAGAAGAAGGAGTAGAACGGTTTTTAAGATGTTTTTCAAGACATTTAAAAGTCAAAGAACTGCCTTTGAAAGGATTTTCGGATAAGAATTTGCTCATGGCTATGCTCATTTCTCGGTTGTCACCCACAATTAATTCTTTAAATGATTTAAAGAAGTTAAAGAAAGCACGAGGTTTGCATTCAAGATCCAAGACCTTAACGGCTTCACTTCGAACATGTGCATATGGCGATTGTAAGGCAATACAAAGTGATAGCAAGTCAATCTCGTCGAAAGTGATCTTTTTGAGAGCAAAAGATGCAATTTGAAGGGCTCTGGCTTGTAACAGGGGATCGTTCGATTTAACCCATAAACCAATCAGAAACTTTGGACAGAAAGTTATCATCTCTTCAACGAAATGTTTAAGCATCCTTTGAAAGATATTTAAAGATTGTACCTTTCCATGATGACTGTGATGACAAAGAAAATTGAAGAGACCATGGATGTAATTGTTTTCAATAGTTTGAGAATGCCAAAACCATGTATTCGTATCAGGCAACTGCTTGGTAGAAATTATCCTGAAAACAAAAAGCTCAATCATTTCAGGAGTTACCACCATACTCTTGACAAGCCATTTTTTAGAATAATTGATAAAGTCTTTGATATTTTCAAAACTTCCAGACTCGGTTTCAAATGTTTTTTGCCTGAATTTGACATGCTTGGAATCAACGAGTTTAGATAATATCGAGATACAAGTCAAGGAAAGCTTGTTATACACCTCGAAATTGTTAGCTTGTAGTGGTAAAAGATGATAAAGAACACAAAGTCCAAGTATATGTTTCCGATAATTGTCTTTACCAGGTTGATTGAGCACATCGAGTAACGGAGAGTTTGGTTGTTTGTTCAGGTATTGAGCAATATGTAAAGTCACCATATCTATAGAGGAACCATAGTCTTCATCTGCAATGAATGCTTTGAGCTCTTCCGTATAGATTGACTTGATCCAATTGAATAACTTCTTGTTACTTTTTTCAATGTTAGTTTCAAAAATAACTGAAAACAAAGATAGTCCAGTAGCATCTAGCGGCAGAAAATAGTCAACAAATAGGTCCCAAAATTGTGATTCATCTGTATGATCTAAATTGGAGACGAGTTTGAAACAATTTCGCCTTACAGTAATCCAGTTGTTTTGAATTTCATCATCATCATTATTCTTCTGGCCAATCATTTCGATACATCGTGGAAGAAGCTTTTTACCATATTCAATGAGATCATTTAGTGGGACCATTTTAGTAAATAAATCTTTGCATGAAAGAAGCTCTATGAGAACTTGAGGATTACTTTCATGAAGAGTGTTAGTCAACGCATCGGCTATACACTTTTTAGTCGATTCATCAGTACACTTCAAAATTTCTTTCTGGTGGGTTGCAATATGGCGCGCTGAAATAACTCGTATTCCTTCATTGGCACTTGTTAAACCAACGAAAACGTTGAGGTTTTTATCGCTTAAACTAGTGTAAAATGGCGAAACAATCAAATCTTTCAAGCCTTGCATATCAACAGTACTAGTCGCTTCATCGAATTCTGTAGGGAAGCGTCTTTCCAAAAGCTGTAAAACATTACAAAGTTTAGAGTTATCAGCTGATCCATCCGACTTCTTTTCAATAATTGCTTCCAAAACTTTAGATAAAGTTCGAGTCCTGAGTTGAAGATTATCGATCAATTTAATGCAATTCATATATTCACCATCATCTTCACATCTACTGATGTAAAAAGTTAATAAAGATGTCAAAAGATAGTTGGAATTTATCTGACTAGTCATCTCCACAAATCTGTCTAGATTTAGTACACCAGCCAACCGCTCAGGAATTTTTTCCAGTTCTTGATATTCAAAAACAATTAAGAGAGTTAGTAGAAAATTTTCTTCATTAGCGTGGTTAGACGATGCGAAATATTTAGCCATTTTGCACAAAAGCTTTTCCAATACAGATGCTTTGATGGTAGTCCTTGTAACAAGTTGAGATAAAACTATGTACCCTGACTGTACCAATGATGCTTCTTGGCTTTTTGAACTTTTGGAGATGAAGTCGAGAATCATAGTGATGAATACAAATTTGAAAGAATCTTCTAAAATGAAATGATCATCTTCCAAAATGGCGACAAGTGTGGATGTGAAGAAAGATAGCACCACGGGTATCTTATTTTGATTTGAAATAGTCTCCAAAATGTGATTTATCAATAATTTGATAGTTGACGAGTTGCTTTTAAGATGGTTCAGGAGAGAGTCTTTGGGCAAGGGGACACCATGTTTACCCACGTTGTGTAACCAATGCCATTTGTGACTTGAATCTCTAATTTTTAAATTCAATTGGACTACACGAGGGAAGAGCTTAGTTTCATGATACGGCAGTACAGCGATGATGAGGTCATCAAGATTAAATTCATGAATGGAGTATCTGTAGATTAACCATTCTAACATATATTGGGTGTCTTTCAACAAGAAGTAAGGTGATACAACCTGGTAAAGAAAATTTTTGATCATCTTATTCAAATTTTCATTTTCCTCCTTAGAAAGCATGGCTCGATCCAAATCTTTTTGCGTTACATTGAACAGACTTTCAAAAATAGTCAGAGATTGGTCTATTTTACAAATGTTAATGAAACCAGACCAACCGAAAATGAAATGAGTATCTCTATCGATAGAAATGGCTTTCTTTCTATCATACAGGAACGAAGCCCTTGATTTGACTTGAACACTTGTTTGAGGAGTCTCAAGATTCCTCAATTGAGAGGCTAAAGAAGTTGTCTTCGACATGATACTGCACAATAAATTACGAACAATAACAAAATAATTTAACTAATTTAAACAATTAACTACGAAAACAAGGTAGAGATGAAAAAAGAGCGTGTAAAATCACGTGTAAACTTTATTTTCGCAAAACCAATGCTGGTTTAGGGGTCGTTTTAAAAGTGCAAAAAAGGTAAGAAGCATACAAAAAATTGGCGGTTTTTTTCAAATTTCATCATTCGCAAATTCAAATACAATTCAACTTTATGATTACAATTGTAATTGTAAGCATTGAACAAAAAATCTTAAACAAACTCAATTAAATTATGAGAGACAAAGATTTTCTTTTCTCCACAAAATTAGAACTCAGATATTAAACTCAGAACAAGCTACATTTATTCGACCGTACTCCAGAGGCTATTTAAACAGAATGTTTATTACAAAAACTTCAATTTTCTCCAGTCTTGCGACATCATGGGCTAATATTTTTTTACAATTATTATAATATATCGATTGCGAATTTATCATTGATCAAATCACAATTTGATTTTTTTAGTGACCCCCATCTTTTTTCATTGTAATTTCGTCTTATTCTGAAGTTGGACATAAAGCTCATTGAAAAATGCGCTGAGAGAGCTACAGGGGAAACCATGTAATTTTAAAATTAAAACAATTAGCCAACTTCAATGATTCCGCCAGTAGGTAACCTAGAGGGCAGCATTCAAAAACAAAGGCTCCTCTTTGGTCAAAAAGCATAAGAAAAGCCGTAGATCTTATACCTTAATAAAGTAGCCTTATTAATGCTGTAACATGTTTTTAATATCGAATACAAGATCCGATTATATTTCTGGTTTAGGTTTCACCAGATGACTCTAGTATTATTTCAACAACGAGTAAAAACTTGACTTTTCAATTTTTATGTGATGAGAGGGATTCACCAATTCAACATGAGATACGAATCTTTTTGCTATTAATCAAATCGAGATAATGACTGAATATTTACCAACTCATATCGATCCAAATTCAGCTCATTTAATAATTCAACAGCAAGGAAAATACTGACTCAATCTAAACTGTTAACCGGTAAGTCTTTTCTATTCACAAATATTCTCAATAACCCGTTAACTCTTAACTCGTTAATAATATTAACAAAGATAAGCACCAATCATGTATCACCATATCAACATCCAAATATGATTTGAATAATTACAAAGATACAAAAGAGTAGGAATAAACCTTGAAAAGTTAAACCCTAACCCAATAGTTGACACCAAACAACCCAAACCAGATAAAACCTCAGTAACTGTCAGTTAACCATTCCTTTACAAATGGGTGTTTAAATCACTCGATTGTAACTGCAACCTTTAAGGTCCAATCATTACTTAATTGCATGTCTAGTTGAAATAAAATGAGGACGAAAATGTTAAAATAGTTGAATCAACTTTACAAGGTAAAGTTGATTGACCCAAACAATTTGATTGTCAAGTTACCTTTCCATATTAACCGTAACTCACCGTTTCATTTTCTAGATGATAATTTCATCTTCAAATCTTCTACATTTGAGCATGTTAACTATTCAATCCCAAATCATCATAATCATTGTATTGAATGAAACGAGACAACCAAAGGTTAACAAACTCAGATATTGAATTTTTAATTTCATTCATCATCAAATCTAATCAATCAAATACACCATTTGAAGACTTGAAACCATTAAAAGGTTAACTTTTGACAATTAAATAAACGGTAATCCATTAAAGGAACATATTGATTGAGATTTTCAGTTGAAACTCTTGATAACCTTAAGCATTACCAAAAAAACATTTCAACTGTTTTCCCATTTGAACCAATTGTTGTTCAGATGTCAGCTTAACAGTGCGATTAACTTTATTATCTGAGGTTGATTATGATGATAATGGACAAGATTAACGAGTCAAAATTGTTAGTCACGAGAATTAAGTCAATTTGAATGGACCAAAAAAATGAAGCTTCAAGAATGAATGGGAAAAGTGATATTATTTCCGGATCAGGGGGTGAACTCTGGTTTCAATTAAGGAACCCAAAAATGATAAAATTCACAGGAAACTCGTGATGAACTTAATTTTGAGAAAGCAATGTCATCAATTGATTGTTAACAATGGCTAACGACAATCAAGTTGCGTGCTTAAAAAATGTAGGAAAAGGTTTTCAAAGGTTAAGGTCGATATAATTTGATGTAATTTACTATTCATTTTAAATCCATTTTATATCCATTTACATTGAAAACAAGAAAAATTATCCAATAATAAACAAAATATTCATTTCAATTTCAATCAATAACAAACCTTTAAAATGCAACAAAACTCTGACAGACTTGAGAAGCTTCTTGTCTGAATATTATAATAAGATTGACAATTTGATTGACTAAAATTAATTGATCGTGTAAATATTCATTAATCACTGAAAATGACTAGCAATGAAAATGGGTAAAAATCTGGTTGTCAATCTGGTTGTCTCCTTGACAACGACAAAGTCTTTTCTCATTTTGTTTTCTTTTTCTGGTCAATCTTTTGATAACTCAATCATCATCAATTTTAATACAAAAATCTTCATAATTGTTCTGTAGTCAACCAGGTGTGACTGTAACAATAAAAGATTGAACTTCTCATGAAATTCTGTCTGTTTCAGGTTCAGAAGAGGAAAAGAGTAAAACATTCGCATTCCTTACAAAATGCAAGTGATTATTAAATTAGAGTTAATCAAGAATAAATGATCTATTATTAGCTGTCGATTTCCGTCTTTCCGAACAGTCGATTACATGAAAAACCGAAAGTGACCAATGATTGTAACTTGTCCGTTAAATGATCAGGTTTGAACGTAAACCGATTTGAGTGAAACAAGGTTTTGGCAAAGTGACTGAAACGCCTCTCATTAATTGATTAATTAATGATATTAAGGATACTTCAATCCAGATTGGTACAATCAACTCACATGAATGACATCAAACAGCTAAAACAAACTGAAAGGCCTAAGTGAATAACACAATTAATTGCCAAAAATAGCACAATTACTAGAAACTAAATCACTTTACTATCCAAATATCAAATCTAAGTTAAGATACAATGTGTTCAAATAGACCTTTTAATAGACATCTTCAGTCAATAGACTTAATTAGATTTTCTTGCACTTTTAAGAGTTCCATTCATGGTCAATTTTGAAGCATGATCTGAATTATCAGATCGTGAAGCTTTATGTAAATTGAAAGATAATGAAAATAAGTTGTTTGTTCAACTTTCATCATGAAATTATTAATAGAATGATTTGGAAACTCGAAACATCATCTCAATTTGCTCAATAGCTAAATGTAACTCACTGTAAATTGTTGACTGAAAAGCTTCAGGTTTACCCGAATTATTTGATGAAAATAAAACAATAAAATGAACAACAAAACGGTTCACCAAAGAAGTTGTTCAATTATTGCTCATTAATTATCCTAAATTGTCAAGGTAACAATTAAAGATTACACAAGTATCTTTATGGCTCCAATAAAGAGGGTTAACCAAGAAAAAATTTGTATTGTTGTTGGTTATTGTGAGTGAAATTTAGATGAAAAATGATTAAATCATGATTGAACTAACCTTGACTAACAATATGGTTCCTGATTAGTGGATAAAATAAAGCAAAATGAAAATATCTTTGAATATGAGAAAAAAAGATGAAAAGAAAAGGGTTGATTGAACAGATTAATTGTCTAATAACGGACTTTTGGGATTCACCTTGTTATTCAAGTGACTTAATTTCACGATTAACTGTTGAATGGAAACAGGTTAACCTGTTAATGAGTTATCAAACTGAGAGTCTGTTTATTGAATCAACTCAGGATATTATTAATAACATGGGAAACCGGTTGTATAATGATAACACTTTTTCCAGGTAACCTCAGATGGTAAACCAGTGAATGGTAAAGGAAACATGATCAAAATTAAGGTAATTATTTCGATAACAATTGAAGGTTAACAATGTAAGTCATAGAAGCATCTGGCCAAAGCAGAGTCCAGTTCCGGTCATTGCCCAGAACTTATCTCAATCATTATTACCATCTTGATAAGGAAGTTGAATTTTGATGCTTCTAAATTTACCTCAATTATACTTAGGAAACGGTTTATTATGAGTTTAAAATAAATCTGTCACCAAAACATTTACAATCCTTTAAATGATCAATCTGGTGATTCCTTAATTCGCGATTAAACAATTTTTTGCTTCTAATTAAGGTTAATTATTAATAATCTTAATTACTGTCCATTCAAAAATTGTAACTTCAAGGCATTCGATGTTAGTAAAGTACAGTTTATGTTTAGCTAATTGTTTTCCTTCCTTGAACACTTTCCTTTCAATTTGTAATTTAATTTTATAATCGTATCAATAATAATTGAAATTGAAAGCAAAATTATATAAATTGTTACAATTTATCTTTGATTCTTTGTTAATTTTTACTCATGTTTGCTTCTTTTGTTGGTAAACCTTGACATGAAATGTAACAATCAAACCTTTTGCTTTCATTGAAATTAACAAGAATTAAATTTAGGTGAATCCAATGTTACAATTGTAATTTCAATTGATTCCATTGTAATGGTTATTAACATTAACCAGACTATTTATTTCCTTGATGTGACAAATAGTCTTGTCTACAATCAATAACATTCAGGTTACTCTGAATACTGAACTCATCAGTTATTGTATTGTTGTATCGATATCGAAACATGGGAAATGTGTTTGAGGAATCATCAAAAACTAAATTTGAATAAAAGAGCAAAGTAAATAAGGGATTCTGTAAAATTGGTAAAATTGGTAAAAATCTGGTTGTCAGTCTGGTTTGTTTCCTTGACAATAGGATTGTTTTTTCATCTTGTTTGGGTTTTGTTTGAATGCCAGGTTATGTACTTACTTTGTATTGCAACTCAACTATTGACTGTAATACAAATTTTAATAATCTTAATTAACCAGTAGTTAATCACTTGTGACTAGAACAATTGAAGTAAGCAACAATTTCAAGTGAGCAACAATTTCAAGTGAATATCAATTAACCATTCAAAATTGTTTTCAATTTTTTGCACAATTTTGGTAAAAATTGGTTGAGCTCATTAATATTATTTCAAGCAATACATTGGGTTAGCGAAAGCCCTTAATTTTCATTATAAATGCTCTAAGATCTTCGGTTAACTTAAAGTCGATTATTTTAGTAATTTTTTCTTAATTTTCATGTCAGTTTCAAAATAACTCGAATTAAAATGTAAATCAAAGGTAATCCAGATGCATCCAGCGATAGCAAAGAGATTTTAAGATTATAATCCAAATGTTCCTTACTGTGAGCGTCTTTCATTATGAAATACGGCGATATAAATTCATAAAGAAAGTGATAATCTATTCTAAGTTTTCATTTTCTCCTTGGAAAGCATAGCTCGATCCAAATTTATTCAAGATACACCGAATAAACGTAAAAAACAAAAAAATCGATCAGTTAATGTTTTACAAATGCTGCTAACCAGATGAACCCAAATGAGATTTTTTCATCGATAGAAATGAAGCCTTTGACTCGCTTACATGAAGAGACATTTCAAACTCACTGAACTTGTTAAACATACAATTCTTAAACTATGAGCAAAGTGAAATAATTGAAACTATCAGTAACAAGAAGTTCTGATAAAAATAACTGTTTAATATCAGGTGAAGAAACCAGTGGAATAAGCATTAACCGATAGGTAAAGAGGAGCTCAGTCTAGCTTTGGCTATTGAATAGGTGTCGCTTTAGTTCACGTATAGTGTGTAACCGTCATATTATTCATTTCAGAACAACTATTATTCATTCAGCTTACAAAATAAATGTTTACCTTGTTGGTGGTTACAAAACAGGATTTTTTATCATGAAATAGTGAACATGAGTTAATGCTTAACTGATTCAAGAAATTAATATCAACGAAAATCTTTTTGATGTTCTATTAAAAAACTAGGAAAACATTGGCTCAGTCTAAACTTCATCACAGGTAAGCTATTTTTTCATTCTCTAAATGGAGATAACTCTCGCTCTAATAACTTTTAATCTTTGCATTGATTGCTTACACCCTACCAAAAGTTGGACTTAACGTTACATTGAGCCCACACAATAATTAGACACAGTGCAACAGTCAAATATTGGCTAAACCGATAACTTGAAAAATTGCAAAATATAATCACAGTTAACCCCTAATAATGTAAAGTTAAGCCTTAGTCAACAATGAACAACCCAAACCTGGCGTTTACCTTAGAAAAACCATATGTTGTCAATTGTGTTTCATAATCACTCGATTGTAACTGTAATTTTTGCTAATCAAACTGACCAACTCAGAAAGTTACTGCAAAGATTATTCGTGAACTATTTCGACTATTCTAAACAAGCCATTGCATGTCATTGTTAAATAATTATGATATTTTCTCTTATTTTTTTATATTAATATTCATTAAATTAGTGTTGGTAAATTATGAGATTTGTTGCCCACAATGGACCCTGTACATGTCTTGCTCTTGGCCAGAAGTCTGGACGAGTTCTTGCTACCGGGGGCGATGATAAAAAAGTTAATTTGTGGGCTATTGGTAAGCCAACCATCTTGATGAGCCTTTCAGGTCACACGACTGCCATTGAATGTGTTAAATTTGGTCACAATGAGGATCTTGTTTGTGCGGGATCAGCAGCTGGTGCTCTTAAAATTTGGGATCTTGAATCCGTGAAATTGGTACGCACCTTGACTGGACATAGATCTGCGGTTAAAAGTATTGACTTCCATCCTTACGGTGACTTTTTAGCTTCAGGTTCAGTGGATAGTAACATCAAGTTATGGGACATTCGCAAGAAAGGCTGCATGTACACTTATAAGGGTCATGTAAAAGATGTTTATTGCTTAAAATTTAGCCCTGATGGTCGCTGGTTGGCCTCTGGAGGTGACGAAGGTTCCGTTAAACTATGGGATCTTCCCGCTGGTAAATTATTGGCCGAATTAAAGGAACACTCAGCTCCAGTTACAGATGTTTGTTTCCATCCAAATGAATTTCTCCTTTCAAGTGCCAGTCTTGACGGAACAGTCAAATTTTGGGATTTAGAGACGTTTCAACAAGTCTCGACAACCACAAACGATGCCGGTCCAATTCGTAAAATACTCTACCATCCAGATGGAAAAGCTATTTTTAGTGCCGCTCGAGATGTACTCAAAGTTTATGGTTGGGAACCTACTCGAACCTATGACACTGTTGTAATGGGCTGGGGAAAAGTGAATGACATAGCGATCTCAGACAACTCACTCGTTTCTGGTACCTTTTCACTTACAAACGTTTCAGTTTACATAGTTGATCTCAATAAGGTACAACCTTTTGGTACATCATCCATCTCATCTATTATAAATTCACCATCATCCCTTTCAAAGCCAAATTACTGCAGAGAATCAGTTTCAAGGTAAAAGAACTTTACTCAAGAAAGCAAAACATACACAAAAGCATAAACCACACAATAATATTAATATTTCTCTTCAGTGCAAAAAAAAATTTAAACAAAAATCATCCACCAATATAACAACAGTAAACATCAACAACCCATGCAAACTCAAACAAAAAGAGACTCTTACCCGATCAATGATCCGACACAATATTGACTCTTAGTTTGCAGTTTTTGCTGCTACCATATTGAATAAATTGGCTTTTCATTGTGTGTTTTATGCCATTGCTAATGTTTGTTTTGGTGTTTTAAAACAATTTCAACTAACTCTCATTTTCTTTCCTTTTTTGCTTTATCCATAAACACATTCACTTATCATTGGTTCCAATGGTTGAACACCAATTTTTCCTGCATTCGCATCTTCATTGAAAAACATTTTTCATCTTCATTTGCCCATTCCTCTTCGGATTCCTTATTGCGGGGGTTTATTTGATTCAAGGCAAAGTACGAGGAAAAATTTCTTCCATGGTAACTGCAGCACAACTCATTCACAATTAGAGTAAGTTGAGGGCCAGAAATTGCTTTTTAATGCTTGAGTTTCAAGTCTCTCCCACATTCACAAAACGTAACCACACACAGACAGACCAGATGAAGACTTGAAATTCACCTTATTGTTGATAGTTGTTAACCAATTTCTTTTCCTCTCTCTTCTTCTCTTTCTTCATCAAACTTGAAAATGAAAACTTCAACTAAAAGGTTTAATTGAAGAGGAGGTTTCGGAAGGTTAACTTTAATCTTCATCTTGCTTCTCTTGCTATTACCTTTTTTTGATTTCCTTTTCATATTTTTTTCCTATTACCATCATTTGAAGGCTTAATTTTCTCATTTTTTCCATCAAATTTCTTTTTCTCATTTTTTTACTTCTATCATTTTCCCTGTCAGAAAAGGGCATAAATTGCAGCTAAATCATGGTGTAATCTCAAGCTGATTCAACTTTTCCAACATGAATCCAAAATGTGACATCCAATGATAGGTTACTGAGTAAAGATGCCATATTTTTGGGCACTTTTGTTAAGATTCTTCACAATAATTTTACCATCGTAATGTTAATTATCTGTACCATTATCATGAGTGCCATTATCATTACTGATTTTTACTTACTATTTAGGCAGTTGATTATTTCCACCCTTTCTACTGTTTTTTATTACCTCCAACTGAATCAACTAAATTATCAACATCATCAACATTATCATTATTGCCATCCTTTGTTGTACACTCAATCATTCAGATTGTGATAATTTTCTCCTTAACAAATCATATTCTAATTCATTAGTTTTGAACAACTAACAATTGAAAAGGTTAACATTTCACAAATTTCTCATATTCAAGATTCACTGTTATTAATAACATTGATGATCTGTCGTTCATGATGTTGATTCTTATGGTGCTTTAGCAGTTCCATTGTTGTTAGCTTTTTTTTATTAACGTAAATTATTTTTGTTTATAATTTTAATATATTTAGATTGTCATGTTTCTGTTGTGAGTAGGAAAAGGTGATTGTCATTTTGTAATTGGCTGGTCTACATGAATTGTTATGCTTTGTGTTGCGTGTTATCAACACTTGTTGATTGATCATCAAATCAACCCTTACCTTTCTTGTCGTTCCTCTATCAGTATCCATATCACCCTTTCCACCACAATTAACATTATACTTACGTTAGTTTTGTCTTCCTTCCCGAGTCCGAGTCCAACTTTATTTTTGCATGTCACGTTTGCTCCCAATTTACGATGACGATGTTGATTGCTATTATCAATTTGATCATCATTAGAATCATTTAATTGCCCGATAAATTGTTTTTGTCAATCTTTCTCATCCATTTTTCCTTGTGATAATACAATTTGTCTTTCATCAGTTTCATTAATGTTTCTCTCATTATAATGATGAATTAATCGCTCGCTGAATCTTCAGAGCAAAAAAGTACATTCTATTATCACCATTATCATCATCATTATCATCATTGTTTTCATTCTAATTGAAACATTTCATCAGTTTTCAATGTTTTAATCAAATTATTGTCTTCGTCTTGTCTGATTATTAAGACATCGATAAACCTTTTAACCCTTATGTTAACCGAAAGCATGAAGTATTGTTCATAACTATCATCAGAAGTCACTATTAGCTTATTATTATGATATCGATAAATTAATTCCTTAATAAGTATGTTAACTTATTGTTTACCAAATGATTAGGTGAAACTAATGTTAACCTGTTTTAACCCTGAAACACACAAACTGTAAACCAAATTTTCGGCTGTTTTATGCTTCATTTTCATTGTTATTACCTTTGATTCCAACACTATTGGTCGCTTAAGAGTAGAGTACATTATAATCAACTGTTTACCCTGAAATTCAACTTATTTCAGTTGATATACATGAACATCTCCCAAATACACTTGAACCAGCGAGACAATTATTGTTCACTAATTGAGTGATTTACAAGCAAACCATTTGTTGATTTTTTACTTTTTTTCATTTGTGTTCTCAAATTTATCCGTATATTCTGAATATTCACAGCTAATTACGATAATTTAATCTAATCATTAAGGCTCACACCATTCATCCTGAACTTATTCTTACCATCTTTAAAGTGCTTTAATTCATTTTGACATTTCTTATCGAAGCTTATTAGCATTAACTATCGGTATTATTAGTAATTTATTACTAATTTATTACTAACTCTTGTATTCTGATTAGATTAATTGCATTGTTTGATCTAATTTTCCCCGTTCTGGAATTTTTCATGTTGAATAACATTTAGATTTGACTGAAAACGTTGATATTGTATCAAAATTGAAATTTCAATTTCAAGGTAATCGGTTGAAAATTCAAATTACTTAACTGCCAAGTTTAGAGAGTTTAATAAATTTGAAAACTCTATTTTGTATTTCAATTGATTAATTGGAAATATTTGCTTGTTAAAACTAACTAATTGAATTGGTTTCAAACGCTGTTGCCTATTAACTGCTTTAATTCAGTTTGAATGGCCTATTAACCATGAAATGATAAGATGGACATTTAAACTCACTAAATTAACCAACTTGACAAGCCTTGTCTGGCCTTGGATTCACCATAAATATCATATTAGTTACACAAAATTTTTTATTTACTCCTTTGCATGTTTTCAGGTTTCTTTTTCTAGTAAATTTTATCATAAAATTCATTCATTTATACGCTTCTCATCCATTCAGTTGCCAACTTAACCCTTTCCATAGACTTGAATTTACTCAACATTGTACAATTATACACGTAATGTAAAATGTTTTCATTAATTTGTAATCTAATCGTCTTTTTCTTTACTCTTTTATTCAGATCATTGGAATCCAATCGAAGTGAAGAAACTGAAACGGGATCTGATGAACAAGGAGAGGAATTGTCATCCATTGATATTAATCAAATTTACGATACTAAGGAAATATTTGCTCCTAGTCGAGAACGTATGCATCTTTCACGCCCTTTTTGGTCACTTTTTGACCTATTTCCACCCGCAGTTTCATGCATCAACTTGCTTCTAAATCATTTTCATCATTTCCATTATTCCTTACTATTTTTGTTAAATCATTATTATTTACACTTATTTTTTTGCATCTTTTTATTTTTTACCCAATCTTTCATTATTCCTGCCTTCTTTTCATGTTCTGGTTGGATTCAGTTTGTCGTACTCCTCCGCCAGTCACTCCAATAGCACAATCTCCTTTAAGCATGGGTATGCACCTTATATGGCTAACCAAACCTTGAATCAAAAATATATTATTTTAATATTGAAATGAAGGAGCACACAAAAATAACAACTTTTTTTCTTGTTTTCTTTTCCTTTTCATTTTTTCAATATCCACTTGAAACGTACAGATTCAACCCAGAAGCTAAACGAACTTAATTTATCTTCCTTCTCTTCATCCTCTCCATCGTCCTCACTCAATGGAAATCGAATAGCCAGTGGAATGTGTTCCATAGAATCATTAACATCAACAATTGGAGCTTTATCAACTCTTGATCTGGGTAACAACAGTCCGTCCGCTTCTCCAATGAAAATACCTTCGTCTTTATCTTCTTCCTCATCCTCATCGTCTTCAGCCTCAATGCTTCTCAACTCATCGACGACCCCTGCTACTGCTCAATGTCGACCCAATCCTCGATCTACCATTTTACCGTTGCCAATAGTTTCACCTTACTCTAATGTCACCTCACCAGCTTCCCTGTCATCACCACATCTCAACTCTTCCTATCATCATAATCATCAAACTCATTCTCTGCAATCTCACCATGATTCCATTTTTATTAAACAACCCGTTTCTACGACAACCCTTAATGATGCCTCATTAGGTTATACTGCCAAAATATCAACCACCATAATTCCGCCTGTGACAAAAGCCTCAACCCCAACCTCATCGTTATCTTCATCCATAACTAACCTTTTATCATCTAAAACACCTCCAACATCCAACAATTTGAACAACACTGCTCTTCATTCAACTCGCTCAATGAGCAATTTAAGCCAAAAAACTACCAAATCAACCAATCTGGTTCATCCTCGTCAACCTGAAGTAATCTCAATCGTCCGGCCTGTTATCAATGACAGTAAAACAAAAAATAACCTTAATGGACAATCACTGATTAACGCCAATGAAAACCATAAAAATTCACACTTAGATCACCCACAAAAGTCAACAATTGCCAATAATCACGCCATCAATACTAACAAACCTCGAGCAGCAGTTGTCTTCCCTGAACAACAGCAGGTTCAACCTCAACCAATGAAACCGCCACAGTCATTAGATCCAATTGAGTCTCCTGTTGATTTAATTCCAGAAGCTCGTGATCGACCAGCTGGCCTTGACTTGGATGACTTTTTACCCAAACATCTACAGGATACAGTACGCTTGGGTTATCATCCTCAACCAGAAATGTCAGAGTCTGAAGCTATGCAAGCAATTATTAGAGGACACAAATCAGTTCTAACCGCTCTAGCCCATCGTCGTAAAAATCTTCAAATTATTTTAGCCATGTGGAGTACCAAGGATGCTCGTAGCGCACTTGAACAAGCGATCAACATGGAAGATCAATCTGTGATAGTTGACATACTCAATGTCATTACTTTGAAGCCGTACGTATTACCAGTAAACCAATTATGGCCATCTTCACCATCGATTTGCTGTTTGATTGTTACAAAACACAGATGATAAGATAATAAGATTGATTCAAACAAAACAATATTACATCATTGTTTGTTTGCACATTAAATTGTTAGATTTATGATTCAACGATTTTCACCATTTCATTATTTACTTTCTTTTCATTCTTTTATCTTATCAATCTGCTGCCAATCAATGTAATGTTAAAACTATGTCATTGTTATTCTGTTTAAATTGTTCAATCAATAAGCAACTTGATTACCTTGAGAGTGAAGAATAATTGAAGATGAAATTCAATTAATTGATTAATTTTTTTCTTTTCTTTTCTATTTCAGTGTCAGTTGGACCTTAGATATTTGCCAGATTCTTATCCAGCCAATATACGATTTACTACAAAGTCGATATGAAAGGTATGTCCATTGGCATTGATTAACAAAGCAAAGGGTCATTGATATCTCAGTTTCCATGGTTTCACAATTATTCAACCAATTCAACACCAGTTTCTCCATGAATATCAGATATTTCCATAGAATGATGCAGTTCCAGTAGACTTGCTTCACTCAGTAATCATTATTTTGCAGTGATATTGATTTTTTTTGTTTCAAGAGTCAACAGCTTGACCCAAAAAAGGAGAGAAGGCTAGGCATTCAAGGTTAAACCATAAAACAATCAATGATTACCATTGATTTATAAATACCTCCACATAAAATATCTCAATATCTTTCAATTAATTACCCAACAAATGTTCACTTTGTCTTTTTTATCGCCAAAATCTATCCTTGATTCAGTTTCTCATCAAAAACCAGAAACAATTCCATAATTGTTTTCACCTTTTCCTTCGCCTAGTCTAATGTTAGATACACTCTTTAAACCCAACAAGGTCTCTTCATTAACCACAACAACAATTACAACCACATTAGCTACCATCAACATGATCAGTATTTTAACATGGTATCATTTTTAATTGTAACTTAATAACTAATTGTGAACAATCCATTACCTAATATTAATGCAACAGAAAAAAGCCAAACTCAAAGGTAGAGAAGCATGTTGATATTAGTTGTTTGCTTTTAATTGTGGGTAGATTGTTTTCAACAATCAAATTTATGAACAGTTTAACTCTATGCATTAGCGAGGCCATTACATGCATTCAACCCACAATCTTCTGTCATGATAATTTATTCAGCCATTAATTTTACTCAACTCAAGGATCTTTTTTGTTGTTGTTTGTTAATCAATCTGTTATTTTATTTTCTCGCAGTTTTATTTAATCAAAAATATCATCATTTTCAATCATCTTTTTGATCCATTTATTCAGACTTTAATTTGATTCAGTCTAACAATAAGTTATTCTTGTTTTGTGTTATTTTTTCTCACTTGAAAGTTCATTCACCAGAATTTATGAGAAACCAACTCTTCTTCATCATTCATAACATTGACAAATTACCCTGATATTGATGTTACTAATGATGGAAATGTTGATCAACATGATATTGATGATGTCATGTCAATAGATTAATTTACAATATTGTTACTTCCTGAATTACCTTTGCGTTTATTGTCACCATAAATCATGGTATTTCCAATCATTTGAATATTACTAATTAACCAATTTAATCATTTAATTTCCTTAAAATTAATTCATCTCTTGATTAACTCAAGGCTGATAGACAATTGAATTCACTTTATTTAACTTTCATTTGTCAATCAATCAAACAATGAACTCAACGTTTCATGAAAGTACAAAATTGTAACAAATCGATATTTCGCTGCCTTCAACATCTTGATATAAACAACTTGAAGACTAAATTTAGCTTCGCCATTCAAAACCAAACTGAGTCTTAATTTAGCTATAAATTGTGAACACGACTTATTGACATCTTTTTTTACAGTGAATAATTTGTTGCAAGTTGAAATTTTGATGACAATTTTAAAAAGTAAACGCAAATTGATTCCAAATTTTCATTGCTTACACATTGCTATGCCATTTAAAATTGCTTCAAGTTTGCATAAAAGCAATCAAACTGTTTTTATCATCTATTTTTATATCTTTATGAAAGTTCATATTAATTTGCACAAGTTATTGCATTTTAGCTTCATTTTATTGGCTCATTTGTTCACGTCCAACTGAATCGTTTCATTTCTATGTGTCTACATAAATCAGTCGATAATTGGAATCACTTTTGAAGACAAGATTTATCGATATTTTTCCTTTTCCTTTCTCATCTTCTCTGTCCAAACTGACCTTTAAACAACTTCCTTACCTCATCTCTGTCCCTTGCCACGAGACCATTTAATTAACAGTCAATCTTGAGTTAACCTAATTTTTAGTTTACATTATTAGTGCCTCAATGGTTGCCTTTTCATTGTCAATTAAGGACTACTTAATGAGCTTTTCTTGTTTAAACTTCTGTTATAAACGGAAACATTCACTTAACCTGAGAACGAGTAAATCTGTTTTCAATTTGAACCTTTTTTTATCAAGTGTTTGCTCTTGTTGCATTTACCCTTAATATTAAACTGTGTTCAAGTATCACTTTTGTTACTTCAAGTTACATAAGTTGTTGATAATCATCACCATAATTAACATGATAATCGTCATCATATGGTTTAACCTGAAAATATTCACAAGCAAGGATTTATTTTAATAGTCATTATTCAACAAGATTATTCATTAATATACTTTTTTTGCTCATTTTTACTCTCAACAATTACTGAAATTGAAATGAGTTAAAGATTTATTTCTCGCCATTTCTTTTCTTTATTTGATACAAACATTGCCATTCACCAAAGTCAAATTGTTTGTTAAATATGATTATATTTCATTGAATCAACTTTTATTCCTCTTACGAACCATTAGTCCAAACATCTTGGTGCCGATTGACTCTCAGCTTTAAGATGACAATCATCAATAACATTATAGCCTTTTGCTCGGATTTCCGATAAGCTTTTTACGCTCCTTTACCAACCTCATATACTTACCAAGTTGAAAAGTGAGCAGCAGTTACTAGTCGAAGCCATTTTTACATAAATCTTAAGATTATACAGTTATGTTTCGATTTATAAAGGTGAGATTGATAAAGAGAGGAAAATGGCGATAAAAGTACTGTCAGTAAAACGAGCAGCCCATTATTACGTTAAAGGGCAACTTTATTCAAAAGTGATCGCTTTAAAATGTTTAAAAATGATCTTTATTCCGTCAAGATGCATTTAAGATGATGATATTGATTGCTTTGTATTTTGGGACTCACTCATGTCTCACGACCTTAGTATGAAAACGATGATGACGATGGTGATGATGAAGATGAAGAAGTAAAAAGGTGAAAGGTGAAACTAATAAAAAAGCATAATAGCAAAGAAAAGGTCGATTATAACAAGACAACCATTGAATGAGATATGAAAAGTAAAGGAAAGAAAAAAAATAGTAAAACGAGAAAAAGGCTGGACTTGGTACAATCGCCTTTCATGAGTTGCTCTTTTGTTAACTTTACTCTCCTCACCTTTACTCTCACACACACACTCATTCACATTATTTGCATATAAAAACATTAGCCAAATGTAAAGGGCATCACCTCGATTTAACCTGGCATAATATTTACTATAATTTGTGACTTGGCTTCTTCTTTTCTTTCCTTTCCTTTTCTCTCTCTCTCCTTCCCCTTCATTTATATTATTTATACATTTATATTCATCTCCTTTCCCTAATCATATTCAATGAGATATTTATGTGTACATTTACAGATACAAAGTTGCTACTGCTCTTAAACCTGATTCCTATTATTACCTTTATAACCCCGCCACGAACCTTATTGGTTTGTGTGTGTGTTTGCGTTGTGTGTTTTATGTAGGTATAAGGTTTTGCTTTGTCTGTGTTCATGTTATGTGTTTATTTCAATCTTACGATGCATCATTTAACCAATTTTGTTGTTCAAATAATCGGCTCAACCCCGCCCAATTTACTCCCATTTTCATGTAAATATCTTGATTATCACAATACCTTAGTTTACATTATTTGATAAACTTTGTTATATATTTGATAACATTTCACTTTATTTGATAAACTTTCCTCTTCTTCTTTCCCTTCATTGCATTTACAGTTGAACATTTAACTTTTCATAATTTTACATTTTCTTGCTTTAACCATATTGATTTATGATTAACACATAATGTTATCCACATATTGTGTGTACTTTTTCATCCCATAAAACATCAACTCTCAACCTTTGACCTTCCATCCTTTACTGATAAAGCCAATTCAGTTTTCATCAGTGGACAAAATTGAATAACATAAACCTCAATAGTCATGAATAGTCATAAATGATTGCCTTTATTATATCACACCATTAACAGCTTATTGCCATCATCAGGTTAATATTTACATTTCAATATAATCTAATTAGTAAACATCTGAATCATTTCACTTTTTTAATGTAACCTTTTTTTATGGACACATTTTGGCTTTGCTGTGGTCATCCACAATGCCTTTCATCTTCGTCATCCTTTTCCTCTTCTTCCTTTGCCTTTTCATCTCACCTTCTCTATGATGAGAAAGAAAGAGGCAAAAAAACTTGTAATCAAACTGTGATTCTTCATCACTTGCTGTTAACCTTTATCTTGAGTTTCTCACAGTCTTCCTGTTGATAGCCATTCATTTGACAAAAAAATAAAACCTTTTGCAAGTGAAAACCCAACAACCCAAGAAAGGTCATGTTAACGATCCACAGGATAATATGCATTTCCCTCCTCCTCCTCCTCATCGACCCAGGAGACGGCCAAACTCCCCTTTTATCATGAGATTAACTTTCATTTATTAACAAGATGATCTATATGTTTGTCATCCAATGATGAATCAAGTCAATGTTTTCACAGTCAATATCCAATAACTTGCCTAATCAAATTATTGGCTTTATTTTTCACCTTTTTCACTTTTTGCTCCAAAAACAATTTACTATTTACTATTCACCTTGCACGTACCAATAGTCTGTTGATGCATTTTTAATATTGATTTGAATATTGACGTTATTTACTTATGATTGTAAATCTAGTTACTGTGTCCACTTGGATTTGATTATTTCAATTGTTTAACTTACACTTGATATTAATGTCAACTTTTATTGTGATTGCCGTATTATCATCACTTGAACTGCTATTATGATCTTGACTGTCCTGGTTCATGTTTATTATAATAATTGAATGTTTACTTTGGGTGAAAAAATGAACCATTGAAAGAATCAATTTTATTACTATGTTTGTGTACATTTTATAACACAATAAGTATCAATATCACAAATAACATTGACAAACAATTGAGAGATGGAGTAAAAATTGCTAGTTAATTTCACTACTTAACCCTGACCGGTGACGAGTCATCTCACCAAAAATAAGCCTTTAAGTAAACTGCGTTATAAGCTATGAGAGTTCACGGGAAAGTGTTCATTTTTGTTGGCATGAATAGACTCAATTCAATTCATTAATAAATTTTTCAAGAGAAACTTATGATAAATTCAATAGGACTCAATTCCATAGCTACACCTAATCAAAGACATTAAATTGTCAAAGAGAGTTGACCGTTAAAGGTAAAAAATAAATAAAACTGCATCGCTGAAAGCTCCGATATTTAAAGCTGAATGATGATTATCAATTTTATACAAATACGTATCTAAATGGTGAAATTTATTTGAATTAATATCTTTCTCTATTCACAAGAAACATTTAACAATTAAGTAAAATTTGCAAAGATAAGCTGTCTTTGGGTTGAAAACCAAAGTTTGTAAACTAAAATTGTTGTTTTAAAGGCTTATTTTTGGTGAGATGACATGGAACCACCCTGACCATACAAAACCAACAATATTATGTCATTTGGACGATTAATGTGTTGATTTTTGTTGCCTCAATATTCAAATTAACAAATATTGTCATTTGATATCAACCTTATTCCCTTGAAGATTAAACCTCGTCGACCTCTGTGTGTTTGCGTGCGTTTCTCTGTGTAACTCGTGTTTGAGTAAACAGTTCTTGCGTTTGATTGATGATTGAATCAAATTACCTGAAAGCTAAAGGTATAAGCAAACATTTGCCCAACAATTTTTGAAACCGAATGAACTGACTAGTTAATGATTACCAGTCTTAATTGATTGTTTACTAATTTTTCCCTCTTCTATTCACAGTTACATGACTGTTGGTTGTTCAGCACTCAAATTGATTTTGAAAAACTTTGGATCAACCATAAAGTCCAACATAACCGCACCTCCAGGAATCGGTGTTGATATTTCAAGAGAGGAAAGGTTTGTATTTCGCACTTTTCCGACTCCAATATTGGGAGTGAAAAAAAGCAAATGAAAAAAAAACGAAAGTCAGAAAGAAATGGAAAGTCAACAATTTGAATGATTAATTATTTAATCAAAATTGGTTTTCTCAGTTTAACTGCAATTTAACTGCAACTTACCTTTTACCAATTTACAAACCCAACAATTAGATATTTTCCAATGGCAATAATTATGGTAATACTAATGATTAACTATAAACAATTGATATACAATGTTAATGATTATAGCGAATTGTTTTCCCATTATAAACCCAATCATTATTGCCTTGGTTAAATCAATTAAATTGCTAGGAATGAGTAAACTCAATCAACTTAAACTAATAATCAAACTAATGACCTTTATTTCCTTGACCAGTTAATGGTTAAATGGGTAAAAATGCATTTCGTCTTTTCTCGTCTTCCTTGTCTTCCTTTCTTGTTCACCCTTTTTTATGTTTATATTATCATTGTTGCTATATTTTAACATACAATTAAACTATGGCGATTCAGTGATAGATTGCTTTTTGTTGCCTTGTAAACCACATCATTTGAAAAACCTTGATTAGTGGACCATTGTTTAACCCTTGAAATGCTGCAACCTCGCCTTGACTTACCTCTTTATGTAGTTGACCTTTATTAGCCAGTTAGTTGATTGTCCCTCCTCTTTGCTTACCTTGACAAAACCATATAATGATTGATTTTTCAGCCTTTTGTTTACCTGTCATTTTGCCCTTTTTTTATTTGACAAGATAACTCGCATAAGTTGCTTTATGCAGGCCGAAAGTGTCTTTAATATTGCTAATGAAATTAATCTGGTTTTTATTGGAAAAAAACTGCATCTAATTATTGACTCTTGCGACTTTATTAAAGTTGCTCTTTTGCCAGTCAATAAGCTTTATCCTAATAGCCATTAAAATGGTCAATTTTGTTCCGGTTACTTTGATGATACCTGCTTACTCGTTATGCTATGTTATGTTCAACTTGATTAGCTTTTGTTATGACAGTTTTCACTTTAGTCTTTTCTTTATTCTACTTTTTTACTGCAATTTTCATCAAAATATTTGCCTTTTTGTTTGCTGCTTTTGTCCATTGATCAACTAACTGAAATAACTGTTTATTTGATTTGTTGTAACATTTAGACACATTGATTGACCAATTCATGCGCTTTCATTATCTTCTTTGCGCTTCATTTGTCACCATTTTTTACGCTTTCATTTAATTTCTCCTTTTTTTCTGCCCTTTCAAGAAGTAATTCAATCAATTTTCACTCTTTTAATGGCTCACAATCCTTAATGGATCAAAAACAGGACCAATATCTTTATAATAATAATGATAATGATAATGGTAATAATAAGTCAAGAAAGACAGGAAAGAGTGAAAAACGGATGACTGATTGTAAGCCTCTTTCTGCTTCTTTCAGACCTTTTCCTCTCCTCATCGACCTGCAAAAAAAGAAGAAGATGATGAAGAAGAAGATGCTATTTGAAATGGATATTCTTTTCGTTTTCCTCTTTTCTTTATCATCATTCTTTAGATATAACTTCAAAGGTCTCCCTCTCTTATTGCACCCAAAGGTCTTCCAAGTGAGAAGGAGAGAGAAGGAGAGAAATGAGGAGAGTGAGTAGAAACACTGAGCCTTCCCTGGTTCCCTCTGCTTAACCAATTTTTGGCCAAAATGACGGGAGTAAAACGATAAAATAACCGATCTATCCTGCTCATCAATTGACTTTTAAGAGAAACTTTTTTTTCTTCTTTTCCCTCCTTTACATATGCATAAACATGAACATGTAAAGAAGCAGCTTCTTCGCTTTTCTTCTTATCTTCCCTTCTCTCTCTCTCTCTCTCTCTCTTTGATGACAAAAGCTTGAAATGGAAGGGAAAAATGAGCATGTTGGGCCCGAGCCTTCAATCCATGTATAACGGCCACACGAATTGCGTTAAGCAAAGTGTGTATTTGGTGACTCTACTTAGCCATTGTAACATTGGGCTACCACGATTTTACCCAAAATGCGTAAAATAAGTTGTTAAAGCACACCAAAAGTCCACCCCAAATGTCTCTTTTCCTCCTCCTCATCGTTATTTTTTTTGCTGCTCTTTCCTTTATATTTTTTACTCACTTTTTTTCATTTACTTTCAACTATAAGATGCTATCACTTGATACATCAACATCTTCATTTTTTGTCCCTTTCCATTCATTCATCATTCGCCATCTTTTACATGTGAATACCTTTTTTTATGCTCAATACTTTACTGTTTGAGGCCAAGTTTGTCAAGTTGATTTAAAACTCTGATATGATTGTTAATTTTGAGCTCGTGAGTGTTTTATATTACTTTTAATCTGTCCATTATGTTGAATGCCTATTCCATTATTGTGAATGAAGTTGTTTTGACAAACAACAAGTTAACTTGTTATGGATCTGCCTATCGTTTTGATGAAATAAAATAGCAAATAAAAGACGAGAACAATCATGATAATAATAACAATGATGATGATGATGAAGATAATGAATTTAGAAGGGAAGAAAAAACAGGAAAAACATAAAAGTCTCGAGATTTTAGTCCAACTTTTTCTTCTCTCGATCAAACCATTAAAAATTTACCTCTGATCTCAATCATGATCCTTGTCTCAACATCTCACTCTTTTAACAGTTTTTATCCCTTTCTCTTGTTACCATCTCTGACCCCTGACCTCTCCTTAAATTATCCTCATTCATTGAGAAACATTTGTCTAACCTTTTCCAGTCCATTCATCATTGAACCCTCGATGAACTAAAAATCAATTTTCCGCAACTTTTATCATCTCTTGCCATCTCAACTCTCACTAATTGTTGACAATTGCTGATCATTTTCACGTTTCAATTTGTCAATCTTCCATTTCCTAGTAAATATCGAGTTACCGTAATGTACACTCAACTTTTCAGCAACAATCTTAGTCAAGTTCATTCATCATTACACAATACGTTGATGCACAGTTTTACCTCAAATTGTCATCACATTTGATTAATTTGGTTACTTTCGTTTGCTTTGAAAATCACTTGATTAGTTCATTGATGCCAATATTAATTCATGTTTTGCTTTCTATAAACAGATACCACAAATGTATGGGCGTTTACAATCACCTGTTAAATGTTCGAGCATTCATATTGAAACGTCAAACTCTTCAGGGTAAACTTGGCCGTACCTTTCGAGAATTGTCGATATTGTTTCAAAATTTGGAATAATCAATAATATATTGAAACTCATCATTCCGTCTCGTTTTTTATTACCAATCATTTCCATCACTTTTTGCCTTCTGCCAAAACAGCCTGATAAAGGAAACATTCACTATCATTCCCGTTGACATGATACTTTGCCATCTCAATAATTATTCACTTTTCCTCACAATTATTTTTAATTTGCATTTGTAAATTTTTGTAGCTAAATTCACAGCAAAATTACATTGAAAATTTATCATTTTTTTACTCAGGAAAAGCAAAAGGAAAAGAAACAACATTAATAAGGAATCAAGTGCCATTATCTTTTCAAATATTAGCGACACTTGATATTTAACAAGATTACTCAGCAATGAATATTCCCTGAAAGTTAATCCAACCCATATGTATATTGATATCTAATTGAAAAGAAGCCGCAATGGATTGACTAATTAAAGTTAATTAATTCCAATACAAATTTGTTGCAAATTCTTAGAAAAGCGATCATTTTGATCGGCCGACTTTTCTGGTGAAAGTTCTTAGCCATTCGGTGAACACCCAAAAGAGCTAAAACTTAAATGGCTAAACTCAAGTAAAATCACTATTCTCAGAATTTCATTTCAGGGTCAAAATAGCTAAAACCTTTATGGACCAACTCTTTTCAGCTAAAGTCAAAACAGACAAAAACTGAAAATACAGCATTTCTCGATGACTTTAGACAAGTTCCCAAAATGTTTAGTCTGTTCGAGTTTCTGGACTCAAGCTGGACGGATAAAATCATGAAATGAATTATTCATCATATCACATTTTTCAATCGAAAATTCAAATTTTTTCATTTATTCAAAACTTTTCATTTATTTTTCGCTCAAAAATAAACCAATTCCATTGTAAATAGAAAAAAATCAAGCAAGTCCAAGGGTTTGATTTGCTTTTTTAAGCATAGTTTTCCGGCTAATACCACTTGTCCGTTTTGGCATTATCTGCTTTCAATTAGCTATTTTGACCCTTACCATCCATTAGACTCCACCTTAGCATCTCTCTTAAACATCATCTTCTACACTCGCCTATACGCTCCAAAGACAGTGATACTTTATTCACTTGCAGACAAGCGTTCTCTCTGTTCAGTTCATTTGTTTGGTCTCATCGCACATCAACATTTTTCATCACTCATCATTCATCTTCATCATCATCAACACTCATGAGCATGCTTCCATTTGAAACACCAACGATTTTCGAACAATTACCCAAATACTTTTTTTCAGTGCCCAAAGTTGTTTCAAATCAAAAGGAAAAATTTGAAAGTGATGAACTGTTGAAAAGGTTAAGTCGTGAAAGTGAAATACGTTTTGTTGGATATAAGGATCGTGACATAGTGGAGCGTCGAGTACGTTTTATCAATGGATTAAAAGAAGCAACAACGGAAATTGTATGTATAGCTAATATTGAATTTTCTTATTAATTTTTCTCATTGCCTTTCATTTTCTGATTCGTCTACAGGTATTTACACCTACAGGAACCAACCTGCAATTGGTATTTAACTCTTGTGCAAACGGATTCAGCGATTATTTTGACTTTGAAAAGGAGCGAGGAAAAGTTCACTTTAAATCAAGTTTCATTATGAACGGTGTTTGTGTCAATTGTAAGGGTTGGATAGACCTTGAAAAGTTGGAGGGAATCGGTTGTCTCGAGTATGACCAGGAAAGAGGTGCAATTGAAGATGCTCTTGTGAAAGAGAACATCGAAAGATTTGATACTTTATTTGCAAAGGCAAATGGTTATTCAAACACAAATCTTATGAATCGTCCTGTGCAATAGACGACGAAGCCGATCGAGAGATTAATCAATTATCATTTTGTTATTGGTACTTACGCCGGGAGTATATTAGTGCTCGAAGTGATCGAACATTTAAAAAACAAAAAAAAACAAGAAGACTTCAAAGATATCATCATTTCCCCTCATATTGATGATTCTTATTCAATTCAATCAAAAGTTACTGGAATCCCTTAAATGGACGTATTCTCGGTTTAATTACAAATTGATGATGATTCATTTGTGAGAGTCGATGATATGATGAACTCAAAACTAAAAAGTCAGATCATCGAACCCTTTACTGGGGCTATTTTGATGGGGATGCACCAGTTAAAAGACAAGGAAAATGGACAGAAGACAACTGGTTTCTTTGTGACAAATATTTGCCTTATGCTCTTGGCGGTGGTTATGTTATCTCTTCTTCATTGGTTAAATATATTGTTACGAATTCTCACCTTCTATCTCTTTATCATAATGAAGATGTCAACATGGGAGTCTGGTTAGCTTCATTGAACATTACACGTCAACACGATCCCCGCTTCGATACAGAGTATAAATCAAGAGGTTGTTCCAATAATTTTCTCGTTTCTCATAGACAGAATATCAATGATATGAGAGAAAAATATGATAATCAGAACAATTTGGTGTCCTTTGTAAATCACAAGTGATGCTGAGAAAAGCTTATTTTTATAACTGGAAGGTTGCTCCAAGCTCTTGTTGTTATCGAAATATAAGTCTATTGTGATATTCTTAAAACTGTCTGAAAAACTATTTAGTCATTATATTTTTCTTTGTTTTTTCGCAATCAACCAATTTAAGAGAAGATGAATTTTGTCCAATCTACTCAAAAGGATGGATTTTCCTCAAGATAAATCAACAGCTCATTCTTATCAAGCATCAACCTGGTTGATATATTCGTCCATGATTGATGGACTTCTATTAAGAGGGAAAAATTAACTACCAATATACACCATCAGCTCATACACTGTGATTACCATAATAAACAAAACAATTTTTTCGTGTCATAAACAAAATATCAATAGATTTTTGTAAAAAATACACTTATTTTTGTGTGTAAATACAATTTTTCATCTTTATTTCGAAAATTTAAGAGAATATTTTGTACGAATAAAATCAATTTTCAAATGAACAAAACCAACGAGTATCTTTATTAAGAGAGTAGATTATTTTGTTAATTGTTAATTTTTATCTGATGCATCATGGAATATAAGTTAACTTTTCTAAGAATGATGACTTATAGAATTCATTGGAAAAATTAGTGATAATCCTCTTTACATACTCTGAGTAGAGTAACTCTTTAACTCGAGGGTTTTTGTTTCATGAAAGTGGGTTTTGGTCATTTGAACGGTGCTTTGATATGAAAAATCTGTGTCTGTAACAACACATGTACTGTTGGTTTTTTCATTTGAAATTTGGTTCTATTCAACAGAGAATAATTGTAACTAACAAGATTACTCAGCAATGAAATTTTCCCTGAGAGTTAATCCAACCCATATGTATATTGATACCTAATTGAAAAGAAGCCGCAATGGATTGACTAATTAAAGTTAATTAATTTCAATACAAATTTTTTTCAAAATTCTTAGAAAAGCGATCATTTTGCTCGACCGACTTTTCTGGTGAAAGTTCTTAACCATTCGGTGAACACCCAAAAGAGCTCAAACTTAAATGGCTTAACTCAAGTAAAATCACTATTCTCAGAATTTCAGATTAGCCTTTTCCTATTCACGCAGAATTTTAGTTTGCTTACTAGGTTAGGTACTCAAAATCGAGAAGGACAAACTAGCTAATTCTTGAACTTAATCAGTTCGTAATTATTGATGATCGAGAAAAAATTTGATTGATATAGATTTGAATGAAAGAATCAAAAAAATTGCAAACTAAATGAAATAGTTGAGCCAATTTATAACAATGAAAGCATTGTGGTTAATTTTCAGAAAATACTTTAATCAGTTTCATCATTAAGCCATTCTCTATTTAGACCTTCTCTGTTTTCGCTTTCGCTATTTCGACCCTTTACCTTTTACTAATTTTGTCGCAGTTAATAATTCAATTAACCGCTTTGATAATTAAAGTTCATAGGAATAAGACTAATCCCACAAAGTGACATTCTAAGAAAAACGAGTGCAAGAAGTAAATTAAAGTATAAAAACGATTTCTTTAATATTTGAATGAATGTAACAAATGATGAAATAACGATACAGCAAACTTTTGGCCTAGAAAATAACCAAGAATTGCAACGGTTTTTCTCGAATATTTATCGATTTATCGTACGGTATATGAAAACATATCGAGACCCAAATATCGATTTTTATCGAGTTTACTGATGCATCGGAACACCTCCATCCCGCACAGGTTACTTGGCAAGAAGCAAGTAAACTCCCACTTATCCATTAGACTCCACCTCAGCATCTCTCTTGATCATCATCTTCTACATTCGCCTATACACTGCAAATCAAGTGATACTCTTCACTTGCAGACAAGCACTCTCTCTGTTCAGTTCATTTGTTCGGTTTCATCGCACATTTGTCATCATTCATCATTCATCTTCATCATCATACTCTTGTTTCATGAAAATGCTTCCATTTGAAACACCAACGATTTTTGAACAACTACCAAAATACTTTTTTTCAGTGCCCAAAGTGGTTTCAAATCAAAAGGACAAATTTGAAAGTGATGAGTTATTCAGACGGTTAAGTCGTGAAAGTGAGATCCGTTTTGTTGGATATAAGGATCGACCTATAGTTGAACGTCGTGTACGTTTTGCCACCGGATTACGTGAAGCAACAACGGACATAGTAAGTAGACGTTTAGCTAACACTTTACTACGTTTCTTCGAGTAGAATCGAAACGATCGGAAAAGATTGATTTGTGTTATTAACTGTTCTCATTGTTTCCCATTTTGTCACAAATCTACAGGTATTTATACCTACAGGAACCAACCTGCAATTGGTATTTAACTCTTGTGTAAACGGATTCAGCGATTATTGTGACTTTGAAAAGGAGCGAGGAAAAGTTCACTTTAAATCAAGTTTCATCATGAACGGTGTTTGTGTCCATTGTAAGGGTTGGATAGACCTTGAAAAGTTGGAAGGAATCGGTTGTCTCGAGTATGACCAGGAAAGAGGTGCAATTGAAGATGCTCTGTTGAGAGAGCACATCGAAAGATGGAAAGCAAAGGTAACACACAACCTTGAATATGATAATGAATATAATTGAATTTCTGGAAATGATAATAATGTGAAAATGTTAGTCGCTTGGTTAATTCCGTAATAAGATTTGTTTTATTGAATAAAGACAAGAAACGTCTGATTGTTGGTGCATAAAAGGATCTACTTTTGTTGTGTTAAATGTGACAATTGTCAACATCAATGAAGATACAAAATAGGATGCAATTGTCAGGTAAAACGTTGACTAGATTCAACAAATTAATCAGATTTAATTGTTCTTTCTTACGTTGTTTCTCCTCTAATTAAGTTAAATGATTTCAATTGTGTTTACAATCATTCACATTTGAATAAAAACAAAAGCACGTTCAAATGACCAAAACTCACTTTCATGTGTTGAAGAAGTTTCTTTATCAGGGCGTAGATTATTCCGATTTCCAAGAATGATGACTTAAGAAATTCATTGGAAAAATTAGGGATAATCCTCTTCACATACTCTGAATGAAGTAACTCTATAACTCGAGAGTTTTTGTCTCATGAAATTGGGTTTTGGTCATTTGACTGGTTTTCTTGTTATGAAAACTCTGTGTCTTTACAGTCAGCTTGCTTTACTCGTTTGAAAGCTGGTTTTGTTCATTTGAGATTTGGTTGTATTCAAGCGAGAATGACTGTACTTGTGCTTTGCTTTTGTTTCACCATCATCATGATAATCAAATACCACAACAAGTAAACACAATTGATGTTCAATCATGTAGAGTGGCAAATGAAGGAGGAAAAATGCCTCAAAATTTAGCCAAAATAGGGTTCAATTCAGTAATGTTATCCTGTATTCAGAATGGATTAGTCAAGAAAACCAGATTCTAGTATTGGCACGTAACACCGGGGATAATTGTAGTCAAATGAAACATTCGGGTTGTCTGTTCACTGTTTACCTTTATTGAATTATCAGTATTTTGGGTTAAAAAAGAGTTGACCTGAGATGGAAAACAGAAGATTATCTTCATCTTTTGCGCTTTAAAAAGATGATTCAGGTTTTAGTTGATGGTGATCATCTTGATGATGGTTATTAGATTTGTTATTCATTACGAAGCGGGAAAAGTTTCACTTGTGATTCAGTGCATGTAAAGTACAAGCTTTAACCTGTAGAATTGAGTGCAATTAAAACTAATCAAATAACCCAAATTAATGTTGATAATTAAAAGTTTACCCACAAAATAAAACAATCAACAATATACATCAATGCTATAGACAAGCAAGTATAGAAAAAGAAAAATATTTAGTTTTCAATCTAATTATCAATTGTCAATTAGTCTATTTCAGTTTCAATTGTTGACTCTATTTCCAATCAAATGATTTAGCTCAAGGTTTAATCAGTTCACTATTATTATCCGTGACAGTTTATCAATCCATTTTTAATCAGTAGACAGGAAAATGATTAAGGAAACGACAACTAGAAATGAACAAATTTTTGCTCAAAATAATTAAAACAATAGTTTACCAAAAATGAAGATTTACAAATGAACGATTAAACTGGAAAAAAAGACTCGTAAAGAGGCTGAGCTTGTGTTTCAGTTGATGCAGCAAGAGTTACTTGTTAGGTTGAAGGTTCATTACTTGCAGCCTGACCAAGTGATGATTGTCGTCTTTAACTTGATGAACTTGACGAAACTTAAGTTGCAATATTTATCACTGTTAACCTGAGTTGATAATGAATGGGAACCATTTGTCTTGTAAGGTTTAATGAGATGTTTTTTGCCACTAATTATAACTGGTTTAAGTCAAAATATGAGTTTTATTGTCGTATTAAATAGCTGGAAAATTGTTAAATTACAGATTTTATCCAACATTATTTAACAGTGTTGTTTTATCAGCTCATTATCATTCCTTGTTTGTTTTGCCTTTACATTATTCAGAGATTTAATCAGATATTTCCAGTTGCGAGACTGAACTGTTGAGTGAAGAGGAAAACATTAGATAAGCATTAATACCTTCCTCTTTTGTGCTGTCATTAAACGATATTATTAGTTATCCTTAATCTCCATTAACCCCCTTCAAACTCCTCTCTTCCTCCTCCTCCTCCACCTCCTCCTATGGCTCTATATGCTTCTTATCAGTACAAGTGTGTGTATGTGTGTGATTGCACTGAATAAGTCTGTCTTTTCCCAAAGGGAAATGTTATGAAAAATGTTACATGAAACAAAATAAAAAGTGTATTAATACTTATCAATGGACACACTTTTTCTTATGAGAATTTCCTTTTCAACTTTTATCTTTTTTCTTTCTGAAAAGCAAAATATTTTCTTCATCCCTTTGTAATGCAACTATTATGATGATGGATATAAAATTTATATTTACTTGTAGTTACAGTCTAAGTATCTTTACTCTGTGAGATTCATCATGAATGATGAAAAAAGCAAAGGAAAGATAATAAATTTAGCAACAATTTAATAGTTGACAAAAGTAAATTCATTTTGTACATTGAAAGAGACATGAAAAGTTATTCAATAATAATTGACTTCTTGTTTGATATTTACTTTTGCCTTTATTCCGACACACATTCACATCTTACGCCCAGATCATTTGCAACTCATCATCATTATCATCCTTATTACTATCATCATCACAATAATATACCTTTTAGTATTTTTGTAAATAAAATCTTCTTCTTCCTCTTGGTAAATACAACAGCATAAGGTTAGTCTCATCTTCAACTGTGATATATTATGTACACTTGGGTGTTGAGGGGAGTCATTGTTATCTGTAGTGATAATAATGAGGATGATACTGAAGATAAATAAATTCATTATTTAAATTGACACTATTGTATTGTTCAATGGGATGGGAGTGAAGAGGAGGATGCAAAATGGGGAAGTAAGGAAGAAGAAGATGAAACAAGATTATAAAGACAAGATTCATTGATATTGAATATAAGAAGATGATGATGAAAGAAAAGTACAAGTCAATAAATTTGAAAGGTGAGATGAAGAAGATTAGACAAAGTGGATCATCATTTTATTTTATTTTTAAGTCTAGAAGAAGAAGAAGAAGAAAAAGATGAATCGAGTATGAAAAAAGGTCAATTGGGGTTGTACAGTATGATCCATAAACATCTGTTGATGGTTCCTACCGTAGAGATGCGAGTGTTTAGTTACACCTAAATGTTTATGTTAATGTATACAAATAGATACATGAAGAGACGAGACAGGGTTAGAAGGTTATTGTTGTCCTTGTCACCCTTGTTGTTGCCGTTGTCAGTACAGAGGTGCCCATCATTCCCTGTGGGACAAAGAGGCTCATCCTTATTGACACAAGTTGACGGTAACAAGGTTTACTGCTTGGACTGACTTTCCTTGTCAACCCGTGTTCAATGTTTATCAGTCAAACACTGTATTTACATATTTGCATCTATATTGGCCAGACTTAGTTGAAGAGTATCAATAATGTGACAAAAAAAGTTACATTTTTTGCATCTTTTGTCACAATCGACACTTTTTTATACCTTTTAGCCTCAATTGGGCAACAATTTTCAATCCATTTCAAACCAATTTGCAATCAATTTTATTTCAATGTTTTTTTGACTTGGACAAAGCAAAAGGTTAAAGGTTGGTTAAACTGATGAATATAAACAAAACTGTGCCAAAATTGAAAAGCTCACTTTGGCTACTTTCTTGGCTATTATTATCATTGTCATTTAAGGTCAATTCACGCCTCCCGTTGAGGTAACGAACGGAATGTTATTTTGACTATTGAAAAGGCTGTTCTAGATGAAGGTTAAGGTGTTCACCTTTACCTTATGAAACAAAAATTTGGACAAATAATATGTAAAGTTGAACGATTACTTTAAATAATAATGCTAATTTATTCAACCTTTTTATCACCCTTTTGACTTTAAATGAAAACCTTAATTTGGTAACACGTTTGCTTATATAAATTGTGTGAATTAAACCAGAATAACAGGGTAATCCGTCTTCCCTGTTTACATCTGAACTTTCTTAGCTTCTTTCAGAATTTGATTTTTTTGCTTTTCTCTCTTTTTGTGTCTCTTATTATTTGACTGTTTGTTTAACCTTTTCAGCCTTTGCTTTTCATGGCTCATCGCTATTTACATTCACCTTTCACGATTATTCACATTTTTAGGTAAGGTTTACTCATCAATCGATTAGCCTATTGTTACCCATTGACATGGCCTTTTTTATCCCATCTATTTAACTTCTTTATTTGGCAACTGACCACAAGAAGATTTGCATCCTTGGCTTGTTTGGACTTTACATGTAAAGGAAAAGTTGAAAAGAATGAAAATGTTTGCTTCTTCTCTGCTTTTGGTCCTAAGAAAGTGACAGTGAAGCTCCGTGAATAGAAGAGTAAGAAACTTGAAGGAAAAAGGATTAAGTTTTGGCTTTTTGTACTAAACTGACCCAACGACTTGGACACACACAACAGTTACAGCTTATGAAAGAGCTTAAAGCTTTTTCTTCTTTTCCTTCTTTTCTATCATTTTCATTTACCTTTGGTAATGTTATTAGGAAAATTGAATTGGAATTAGAAAATTATTCTTTGATACTTTTCTTGCACTGAAAAGTACATTTCAATGAATTATTATTAGAGGACAATAATAATACCGCAGGATTGTTTCATAGGGTTTACCAGGAAAGAGACCAAAAGTATCCAGAATTTTGGTCAAAAATGAATATAAAATGGTCAATAAAATGGTCAACAATAGGAATCAGGTTAAAGGTACAAATAACGTTTTCCTTAACATGTTTGACGTTTTGACTTTATTCATTATCACCTTTTTTTGTATACAATTTTTGGCAATCCTCATCAGTGGTCATTTGTATTGTACCATTAATGGGATCAAGATAAATGTCTTTTTCATAATGTTGTTTACGTGAAATGAAATGTTTATTAGGATTAAATCAATGTCAATCATGAAAATGTTTCATTTTTTCAACTATTTTCTTTTCTTCACATCAACTGAATGTTAAATATAATTTAACCGGACGATGTATATTC